ACATCCCAGACTGTTGTGATTGCCTTGGGGGAAGTGGGGATGGTTGAGTGCTGGTCAAAAGACACATCAGAGCCATGTCTCTTGATTGAAGCTTTTAGAGGAAGAATGCATGTAACTACATTATTTCTGCACGTGAGTATATTACTGTGAAGATGAAATGTTAGGGGCTAGGGAGATAATTTAATTGCTAAAGTGCTTACTTTGCAAACTTGAGGACCTGAGTTTAGATGCCCAGGACTCATGCAAAAAAGCAGGGTGTACTCTCACATGGCTGTAATCCTAGCACAGAGTGAATGGGGACAGGTGAATCTTCAGACACCACCTACTCCAGTCCAGAGAATCAACAAACACTGGGTTCTATGAATGACCGTGTCTCAAAAGATAAGGCAGAGAATGATTGAGGAGGGTGCCTAATGTCAACATCTGGCCCCCACATACAAATGTACACACACACACACACACACACACACACACACACACTTTCCGAATAGTTTAAACAGAAGCTTTTGTATTGTGCAATGGAGACCTGCAGTACTGCTGTATGCATGGAGAAGGTCTGAGCTCTGAGCTTATTTTTATCTCTATCTACTTCTCTCTTCCTCTGTTGAGACTCCAGCTCCGAGTGGAGCTTTTAAACATAAAGAACTACTCATCCCCATTCTCCATGGAATGGGCTATCAAACTTCTGAAAGTGTTTGAGCTACTGGACAGTTTCCTTTGAATATATTCTATCCCTGTCTCTTTTTGTTTAAAGCAGTGGTCCTCAGCCTCCCTAATGCTGTGGCCCTTTAATGCAGCTCCTCATGTTTTGGTAACCCCCAACCATAAAATTATTTTTGTTGCTACTTCATAACTGTAATTTTGATACTGTTATGAATTGTAATATAACATCCGGGGTTTCCGGTGGTCTTAGGTGACCCTTGTATAAAAGTCTTTTGAGACCCCAAGGGGGTTGGGTCCCACGGGTTGAGAAACACTGGTTTAAAGGGCAGCTTTGAATAACTGGATCCTAGATATTTGTTATCATGGCCCTTGAATATTTTACACCAGTTAGTTTTAGAGCCATGGTGTGATGTTTCTCTGAAACATCAGATGCTGGCATGGAGAGATGATCTAGAAACAAAGAGAGATCTGTTCTAAAGAAAGCGAACAGCTGTGGCTGAACAATACACAGAAGCCCTGAGATGGATTGCCACCGTGCTGTTGACAATGTAAGGATTAAACTGTTTTCCTGGAATTTACATTCATATCTGTCACACAGATCTTACTATTGAGTTTCACCTTAGGTTTCTTGATATTGGGATTAAAGTTTATATAACACTTTGTAACCATCATGTTTATGAAGTTGCCTGGCTATAGAAGTCTTGGGTTGGTCTGAATGAGATTGGTCCCTACAGACTCAAATGTTTGAATATTTGACCTCCAGTTGGTGGAACGATTTGGGAAGGATTAGGAGGTGTGGTCTTGGAGGAGGTGTGTCACTGGGGCAAGTTTTAAGGTTTCAAAAGACTCCTGTCATTTCCAGTATGCCCCCCCCCTCTGTTTACTGCTTGAAGATCAACATTTGAGCTCTCAGTTGTTCCTGTTTTTGATTTCCCATCATGGACTCTAAACCTCTGAAACCATAAGCCCATTTAAATGCTTTCTTTTATAAGTTGTCTTGGTCATGGTGTTTGGTCACAGTAATAGAAAAACAACAAAGACAAGAATTAAGGATTTTAAGTCCGCATGGAACAATAGGGCTGAGAGGAAAGAGTGAGAATGTATTAAAACAGTCTCCAGGGTCTTTTAAAGATCAAACCTATAGGGATTTTAAGTACAGGAAGATCTGTGTTGAAAGGCTCGATTTCCTAATTTCTACAACCTCGCTTTAATTTTGTGACTATAGATGCTTTGATATTATGGGAAAGAGATATCACCCATTGACTCATATATTTGGATTCACTTGGTACCAAATTGGTGGCCTTATTTGGGGAGGTTATTGAATCTTTAGAAGGTAGAGGGATTGTTGGAGGAAGTACATCACTGGGGATGGACTTTGAGAGTTTATAGCCTCTTCCCACTTCCTGTTCTTTCTCTTCTCCCATTCCTTAAGATGAAAATGGGATCTCTCTGATCTGAGGTTCTCCAACAATGCCATGCCTTTTCCTCCCGAGTCATATCCCAAATTCTTCTTAAGTCACTTTTGGTCATGATATTCTATCACAGCAACAGAACAGTAACTAATACAAACATTTCTATGAGTCTCTTGATCTATCAATAAGGGTGTGCTACTATAGAATTTCATTGGCCCTAAATCAAACATAGAAACATTAGAAAAGTAAGACATGTTCTTCCTGCCTCATAGATTGTGTGGGGGCAACAAGCATTTTAAAATTGGCATAGGTAGAATTTCTGTGGGTGAGCTATGAAGCACAAAACCATACGTTCCATTTCTTTCTCTCACAACCTGGTTTGTTATGCATTTCTCCCTTTGCCTGTGTGTGTGGTGTGATGTAGGTATGTGTGCATGTTCTACTGGGCATGGAAGCCAGAGGTCAATGTTGAGTGTCTTTCTCCTATCCCTCTTCACCTTGTTTTTTGAGAAAGGTTCCTCACTGAACTCAGAGCTCACTGGTTTAGCTAGACTGGCTGTCATCAAGTCCCAGAGATCCCCTGTCTTCACCTATCCAGGCCCGAGGTTATAGGAGCACACAGTTTTTTACATGAGTGTTAAAGATCCAAACTCAGATCCTCATAGTTGTGAGGCAAGCACTTTACCGCCTGAGCTATCTCTCCAGCTCTGTTATGTACTTCTTACACCAGGAAGACATGGTGGCTGAGTAATCAAAAGGTTGCCCACACTGCCCTCTCCCATCCAATGGAAACCTCCTTTGGTCATTGTCTCCTGCACATTTCAATAGTACCCCAGGACCTCTTAGGGTTTGTAATTGAGTGAAAATGAGGTTTAGGGGTTATGTAGAGGGATAGTGAGGATGCATCTGGACCCCTCCCTTGTTGGAGATGGGATGCCAAAGACAGCAGGGTTTCTATAGTATCTTGGTAGCCAAGGAGAAAAACAAGCAAACAAACAAAGTCTCTTGTAGTTTTATCTAATGAAATTCATTTATACTCTGCCTGTTTAAAAAGGAAGAGAGAAAGATTTGCTATGGCATAGTTCAGCGAACACAGTGTCAGGCTCCTCTGCTGGGTTACGCAACAGAACGGTGCCAAGTACACATCCTCTCCAGAGCTACCTTCTTGTTCTGAGGATAAGTCTTTGTTTTGGAAATAGCTGTGAGAAACAGAATTAAAGAAATAGTATTTCTAGATGACTTGCTCCATAAGGACTTGCTGGATGAGGAACTGGTCACCAAGGTTCTTTTATGTAATGCCAATGGAGAGGTGACACCAGGAGACTGAGCAGAGGCTATGACCACTTTGCCTAGAAGACACTGCCTTTGCCTAAGCACACATAGCATCTTATCCATTCACATTAGTATCTTGCTCCATCTGCAGTGCTAGGAATCAAGTCTAAGGCCTCATGCATGCAAGGAAACCCTGACAACTGAGCTACATCCTCAACCCGGTGTCTTTGTTTCAGCTTTGAATGTATCTCCAACTCAAAATAAAAAATGGATGAAAACACACAGTAGTATCTACTCCAGTCATTTGAGTAATTCAAGCCTAATTGATACCAAGTGAGTTTTCCATTTCTCTTTATCTCTTCAAGTTCTTGAAACTTAGAGTGATTTAGATCCATACTCCCTGATCCTTGTGAATCAGTGAGCATCTAAATATTTAAATATGTCTTACAAAAATAAATACACTCCACATTCTGACCCAGACATATTTATACATACTCATCTGAGAATAAATTTCGTGTGATAATACCCTACTCTGTGGGAGGTTCTTCCACCTTTTTAATTCATTTAAAAATGATGTGTATATGTCTGTGTATGAGTATGTGTACACGAGTTCAGTGCTTGTGGAGGCCAGAAGAGGGCATTGGAGTTATAGGTGGTCATGAGCTGTTCCACGTGGTGCTAGGAAGTGAGCGCCAGTCCTCTGTTAGAGGAGAGAGTACTGTTAGCTGATAGGCTACTTTTCCAGCCTCTTTTTGATTTCCATCCTATCCTATTATAAGTAAATACACATTCCCTTCCGATATGCTAAGTTGATTCAATGACCTGAAATTGTAAGAGCTCTGAGGTCCAGAATTATAGTTTGTTCATCCATGTAAGAGTTTCTTTGCACATAAAAGATCTAGTCAAGAAATGTCACTAAATAAGTAATTTTCTTTCAAATAATAATAATAATAATATATTCTTTTGGATGGCATTGCCCAAACTATCCTTTGATTTGCCTCACTGTATTCCTCTTGCTGCCGAGAGCACAGCAGGATAGTGTGAGCCACTTGCCAAAGGACTACAGAATCTATAAAAATTTGTGCTTTCATATCTTTATTGGAGGAAAGAATAAGGAATAAAAGGGGGAGAAGAGGAACAGAGCTGTTTCTGTTGGTCTGCAAAAGAGGTGTAGGAATGTGCTGGCACCCAGATTCCACGAAGCCTGAAAGTCTGCCCAGTATCACAGGGACCAGCCAGAATTTTCTGTGATTTATATTTTATTCTTGCTAGACGAAACAGTGCTAACGGGGAACATGCTTAAATCAAGAAGGCAGTTTAAGGTAGAACGTAATTTCTCCTTTCACCTTGAGCCTATTCCCCGAGTCTTCTGCAAAATCTGCCCTTTAATGTCTTTAGGTAATGAAAACAAACTAGTTACCCCACAAGCAGAGCTGCCCACAGATTCACCTGAGTTTTCTGTAGCACTGACTGTAGATATACAATTAAGTGTATTGAATTTAGGGCTAAAAGCAGTGGAATGTATTCCACCTGGGCTTAAGTCATTGAGCGCTTAATATACTAGGAGTGTGGTGCTGGATCCTGGGGTCAGAAAAGCAAGAGACTGAATAGCGTTCAGTGTAGTTGGTGGAGCTTCCATGTGCACAGCCACGGCAATACTGAAAGCACTGTGCAATGTGTATACAGAGAGCTTTAGACACTCAGAAATAGCCCACGGGGAGGTTTCAGAGTAGGGCTTTGAACAGAATGGGAGTCATTAAAAATAGAAGGACAGAGGATATAGCAGATATTAAAATGATCAGAACAGATGCTACATTTGATTTTAGCCAAAAGGCCAAGAAATGATGCAGAATCTAGATTTAATATATATCCACATACATATATATGACATGACATAAGTGTGGAAGGGGGACTATGGGAGAAAAGAGGAAACCTAAAGGGTAGGGATTGGGGAATAGGAGAAAGACTTAGGAGGGATTAAGAAAGACAAATATCACATTTTTATTTTTAGAAATGTTTGCATATATATATATATATCCATGAAAACAGGAGGAGAACTATATAGAGGAAGCAATGGGTGAACAGGAGTGATGTAGGATAAGGGAGGCTAATGGATAACGTGGATATGACCAAAACACAATAATAAACATGTAAGAAAACGCAATAATGAAGGCTATATTTTGTATGTATGTTAACTAAAAACTAGTTAATAAAACAGCCAAAAGAGATTAGAATGACAAAATCCACTTGGGCTTCAGGGTGGTGAGGACTACATGAATTTGGCTGGCTGGAGGAGATAGGTGCAGGACGCTTTAGGGATTTCTTAGTGGGCTTGTATTTTTTGTTGCATACAGGTTTATGATACAAGCAGAGTGGGAATAGCTGACATTAAGTAGAGAAAATGCTTGGGTGTCATGGCAGGCACTTCTGTGTTTATTGTGCATGTAAACTTGGTATGACTTGTTTCTTTTCCCATTGTCCACTGTGTGCAAATCATACCCTCCCTAGTGATCATAACACGGACTTACAGTACCAGAAGGGCACTCGGGTTATTTATCCCCTCACCATTAATTTTATACATGAAGAAATAGAAGTATAAGTCATTTGGTTAAAAGGAAACTTTCTGGGAGATTGGAGAATACTCAGTGTATTTGCATATAGATAGAAGCAATCTTCCTGCCTCCTTTGTACACACTGGCTCCTAGTCAAAAGAACAACAGCTCACTGTTGATTTAAATTGAGCAGGAAGGAAGTGCAGGGGCAGGTGAGTGTGCCTGATAATCTCACTATCAGAGCCTGGAGGAATGTGGGGAAAGGGTGCCTCCTTCTGGGAACCCTTCCAAGGGCTTTGAGCCACCAAAGTGCAAAAGGATCTGGTGAAGAAGCAGAAAGTTAATGACAAATAATTGTCCCCTGACCCTGTATCAGTTCCGTCCCACTAACAAGGACAGAGGTGGTTCCTTCTGGGGCTTTTAAAGAAAGTGCTCTTCAGTTGGTATACAGGGATTCCTTTCTGAGGCCAATTCCCACAAACAACTGGACCAGGGATTATCAGGGTCTCTAGAGACGGACCTGTTACTACCTCTGCTGAACTGTAGAATGAGGGTCACAGGAAAAGGCTCATGGAAGTGCCACTGAGAGGAGTTTGTGAAACACTTCCTGTCATTTGGTGCTTTTTGTCTGCTGGGCTGTTTCTGATGCCCCTGGGAGTCAAATTCTGTAGTGGAAGGTGCCATCTCGAACCTAAGACACATTCGTTCCAACCAAAGGACCATGGATCAAAATGCAATGACAATCATGTGTCACAATGTAAAAGTGAAGCTTGTTTCTTATATGCTAAAAAATTGAAGGACAAAGTTCACTTGGGATTCGGGGTAGTGAGAGCTACACGAGTTTGATTACCTGAAGCAGGCAAATATAATGTTTTAGGGCTTGCATGCGTGTTTTAGTTGCATACATGCTTATGGGATAAGCAGTGTAGGAATAAGTTGATATCAATAGAGAAGACACTGAGGTGTCATGGCAGAGATATCTGTGTTCACTGGGCATTTAAACATGGAGTAACTTGTTTCTTCTTCCATTGTCAAGTTATGCAAAAGTTGCTTCACTGAGTGACCATGAGTCTTTTCACGAGCTGTCCTGACTCTCACTGACAAAAATCCCTTCCCCAGGAAGACCAGACTTGAAGTAAATATGAATAATCTAAAACGAAGGCTTACTAACCTTTGGTTCACCAGGGCCCACCTATCCCGTATGGGAGCCAGATCCCAACCTGAGCCACAACAAGCCAGAGTGTTTCCCTAGCTCTTTTCTGTGGATGGACAGACTTCCAGGTTATGGAAAGGACACAATGGCCCCGCAGCCATTTCCTCGCTGCTAAGCAAGGTGAGGGGCCGCCTTAGCAAGTTCAAGAACAGGGGAAGGAACACAAAGGAGGGAGGTGCCATTTCTGAGAAACAGGACAATGGTGCTGGGGCTTTTGCAAAAGGAAAGAAGTAACTCAAAGTTCAAACAGCCCTGGAAATGTAGCTGTCCAACGGCAGGACTGGCCTTCACACTGCCTATACAATATGGGAATTTCCCCTTCAGTTTGATACAATTCTAGGTGAAGAACAAAATTGAAAATGAGCCTTTTTCTGGGACCTCACATGGGAGAAGCAGGATTTCTTCAACTTGCTATAGGACAATGAAGGGACCTCGTGAGCTCCAGGCACTGTCCATGAAATCCTCAGAGCTAGATTCTGACCTTGACTACGGACAGAGTTAATTCCTCTTCTCATTTCCATAAAGGTCATGACTGAGACAGGAGCATGACAGCTGAGGAGAAATGGAATGTCTTTCAGTGAACACTCAGAGTAAGTCCATCCCATGGGGAATGCTGATGTGAATTTCCCTTTGGGGGCGAGACGTTTCTAGGAGAAAGCATCATTTCTCGTGGGCTTTAAAGGATTACTGCTAATATCAGAGAAAAATACGAAACAAAACAAGACCATCATGTGTCTATATAGCACTTGAATTCACCACCATAGCAATATATGAATTTGGTTCTAGAACCCTGATGCTGGCCAAATACCACCCCCTCCTGCCCCAGAGAGCCATTTGCCTGGGTCAGGCATAATCTAGGTCTTATGTTGCAGGGAGACTTCTGGCTTTATCTGCAGAAACTGTGTTGCCGGGCTAACTTGGAAATTCTCAGCAGTTTATTTCCTTAATTCCCACATCATTGTAATCTCTGAATTCTTTCTTTGACAATATGAATGCTTTCATGTTATTTCATAACTAGGATTCAGGAAGCACTAGGAATCTTTCCCTTCCTCCAAAAATTGAACACTTATACATATATATACACACACACATGCAGTGTGTGAGAGAGAGGTAGAAAGGGAGGGAGAGAGAGAGAAAGAGAAATGGAAAGAAAGTGAGAGAGAGGGAGGGAAGGAGAGAAAGGAGAGAATGTATTCGTCTTGACATCACCTTCTTCTGTCCATCTCCCCGCCCCTATCCTATGGCCCCTAATACAGTGGATGATTTTTTTTTCCCTACTTACATCTGTAAAAATCACCCAGAACATTTCAAAGTTTAGGGTCAGGGAACAGAAATATATCTGACAAGTTCACGTACAAAGGAAAATTACTCCCTCTTTCTCTCTTTTTTTCTGACTGTGTGGTCTTTTAATCCAGCAAGAAGATATCAATAAAACCCGGGTAAGAAGGGCTTTGGGAAGGGAGTGAACCTCATGGATGCTTTCTTACTCCTCATCCTGCTTCCCTGATCTGTTCCCATTTGGGCAATGGAAAGAGCTAGAAAGGCTTCCCCTGATGGTCACCATTCAAATCAGCTGGTTACAGGTGAGGCAATGCGGGATTGTGGATGCATAGACCCTAGAAAGTGGCCTACCAGAAGCTTTCCATCTGGAGCTGAGAAAATACAGGCGGCCTTGGTTTAGATGTACCCATGATGTGAAAGGATTATTATGGAGCCTCCTGCTGTGACTCCTGCCCTTGCCCTTCATCATCCTAAACTGCATAAGTTAGATGGTTTTCAGTTCAGTATGATGAGAAAACACCAAAGATTGGCATGAGGAAATGAATTGGAAGAGATGATTTTTTTTAAATACAGAAAGTAAAATACAATAACAGATAGCAAATGTTTCATGGTGCGTATGTTTCTAAAAAATTCTGGACTTCAATGAAAACTAAGCTCATCAACTTAAAAATTCAAAAATAATCAATTCTCTACAGCCAACCTGGACTGAGCACCTGGGAAGCCTTCTATCCAGCAGCCCCTCTGAGAAGCCATGCAGGAGATGCCATGGACTGCAAAGATAGAGTTATGTTCTTACTAGGAGATGAAGGAAACTGAGGCTCAGAGCCAAGATTCCTCAACGGGAATCAGACTTAGAACTGCGAGTTCTACACACATCCAAGAGACCCAGATCAGTATACAGCTTCCTGGTCTTCACTCTGCCTTAGTCACACAGAGATGGACATAAATAAACACAAAACAGCATAAACAAACACAAAACAGCCTACAAAGGTAGGCTGACATGAAGGAGTTTTGGGAAAGCAAGTTCCAGTGTGCCTTCCACAAGAAACGATAAAGCGCCTACCAATGTTAGCGTACCCTGTTCACCAGCAGAACCCTTTGACCCTGTTTCCAATGCATCCAGAATGGGGTCATTGCCTTCCATAGCCTCCTAATAGGTTTCCTTCTATCATGAACCCTTTATAATTCTCCCCAGGTAGGGAAGACTGGCTATTCACCAAGCCACCAAACCTCAATTGCCTATAGATTTGTAACAATGCATCATATGGAACTATGAGGCTTTTAAGACATGTATAAAATAACTAGAATATTTTAATATACTTTAAACAAAAAATCATTATGAAGCATACCATCTCTAATTCTTTCAGAGATCTCTCTATCTTTTGTTATGGAGTTTGTGTCCCCTGGGGAAAGTCCATATACTCAATCCAATAATAATTAAAAGATTTATTGATGAGCTGCTAGCAGAATGAACTACCGCTGAGCCAAGTTTGACAATGCCATGAAGGAGAGGTATGAGGAAAGAATTTTAGGGGGGAAAAAACCACACAAAGACCTTCAGTATCAACACAAGCAAGCAAAAACTCTTCTGTTCTGCCAAGCTAAGTGGTTAAGCAACACAAAACAATCTTTGGGGATCTGTGTGAGCAAGTTACAGAAGCAAAAATGCTTGGTTTCATCATAACAAGTAGATAGTCATGGCTGCACATTTTTGGGTGGGGGATCCACTGAGTCAGGGTTACTGGAACTTATTTTCCAGGGACTGGAGTCAGAGACACATCGCTTGTGGGTATCAAGATG